TACGAACCACTCCTCCTCCTCCTCGTATCCGGCTCCTAAATGTCGCAAACAAGAATCTGAGGCTATTATCCTGCGTAATTTCACTACCGCGCCAAGCCTTTGCATCACCAGCTTATAGGCTATATAGCTCAATCTTCTCTTCCATTTCAGGCTCCCGCAGATGCCCTCGAGATAGTGAACTCGCCCAACAGATAATTCTAAGGAAACTTGAAGGATAGTGTTCAAGAGGCGTTCTACATTGCTAGTGGCAGAGTGCAGTTTCAGACTGTACAAGATATCCGCTCTAACTAAACCGCAAATGGTGTAATCAAGAAGCTTGCTCTGAGTCTGACTTTGTACGTCATCAAGTCTTGGCTCAGAAATGTCCGCAGCCTGTCCTTTTTTTTCGACTGTCTTTCGTTCTTTGTGCTGCGGTTTAATTTTTGCGTTGACCCATCAATCAATCCGAGTGTCAACTTCAATAAATCACTCCCTTTATCGCCATTCTTGCATCATATTGTGTACGGTGTAAGTTGCTGCCAAAATTATATCAGATGGTTTCTAAATACTATTGCAATCCTCGCGCATTAGCCTCAGCCATTCCTTGCTGAATCCACTGCTCTCTGACGAGATTCGTTCTCGTTCTCCGTTATTCGCCTTACCCATATTCTCTCGCCCAGCTCTACGGCTAGCACGATGTCTTCACCGCCAGACTCTGCCGAAGCAAGTAGCACCAATATTTCCCTCACCGTCAACTATGTCCCATCGAAATTCTCCGGTGCACTTCTCGAACCCTCCAGGCCTCGGCGGAGGAAATCAAAGAACGCCATGAACAGTGTTGGAACCATGGGTACACCTCGTGGAGGTGGAATCGACGCGTTCAGAATCGGCGAATCTAGGATTCCCGAAGAGAACGACGACGATTACGATGGTGTAAATGTTTCCAGGTCGTGGCGGTCAGGCCTTAAAACCTTTGGAGGAAAAGCGAACAAACACACGAAACTTCGTTGGAACGCGTTTAAAATTACACTCTTCTTATCCAACACCGTCTTTTCGATATACACTTTGATCACCTTGATATTCTGCCTCATTACCTGGTTCGACGTGATCCAACATGCTGACGTTATACGCGTGGGCAATCGCGCTGAACTCATCTTCAGCACTCTCGCCGCGACGTTCGGCCTCTTTACCGCCATGATTGGCTGGGCAGGTATCCTCCTCAACAACCGCGGTTTTCTGGCACTCTACACTTTTTTTCTCTGGTTAACCTTTGCGTTTTTGGTCATCCCTGGTTATCTCACGTACAAAAAACGAACGTTCAATCTGGAAGGCAAACTCAACTCCGAATGGTCGCGAGCACTTGGAGCAGAAGGCCGGTTACGCATTCAAAATCGATTGCAATGCTGTGGCTGGTTTTCTCCCTTCGTCGAGGCCACCATTTCACAGACATGTTACGCCCGATCGGTTCTCCCGGGGTGTAAACTGTCGTACATGAATCTACAAAGGCGTATCTTGGAAAAATGGTACACAATATCATTTGGACTGGTACCTCTCCAGCTTGGCGCTATTGTCGCGGGCCTCTTATGCTCCAATCACGTCACATATAGGTTTGGGAAGGGCATGATGCCAAAGATGTATCAGTTGAACCCGGACGCAATCAAGTTGATAGTGGACCAGTACGCAAAGTCAGTATACTATTTCCGAATCGCTTTCGATCTTCACTGAAATTTTTATAAGCAAAATTGCAGAACAGTACGGCAGAGACATCGCTTCCGATGTCATCGTCAAGTCTGGTATGCAAAGCTTTGGTTCAGGTCTTCCTGCTCAGGGCAGTAGTTCTTCATACCTACTTTCCGGTCGCCCCCCGCCGTCGAAGGAGTTAAACAGCGGAAGCGCTTTGTCTGCTATGACATACGTCGACTCGTTTGATAGAACTCGGTCTACAGGAGGTAGAGAAAAGTACGACCCGCGGCGGGCCAACGACTAGAGTACGAGATCAAAATCTAAAATCTACCGGCTGAGATAGATTAGACGCTTATACCTTTTTTCGCTTTGTGCTCTCATCGCCGAAGTTGGACAGAAACTTTCCTCTCTCAACCGATTGCAACCCCTACTGCTTGTGCCGGGAATACTCTAGGCTCAGCTACTTTTTCTCGCCATGTGTGACTTGACCATCTGCGGGTGGTGGTGCTCCAGGCAAAACCTTAGTATACATTGGCCCGGGGCTTTTGTTACTCTCTCTCACCCTGAGCTCGACCGAGCACATACTTGTCTGATGTCTGTGCTATAGAGCAGCTATGGAGTATGATATACACAGGACTTTTCTCTCTTGTCGCATCCTCATTATTTCTCCTGGGTCGGATATGTGTTTTGTATCTTTCCACGCCGTTCATTTATACCTAGTACTAATACATAGTGTACCATTGCCGCTTGCGGAGACTCAGTTCAAGTCAATATATTTATCTGGACTTCCTTCCAATTTTGAGTCGTTCCATGCTTTGTTTGCTTGCAAAGGACATTTCTTACTGTGCCATTAATTTCTGATGCTGAATACCTCTTGTTTCTTGTCAAGGTGCAGAATGGGATAGGATATTTGAATCATGCTGTAAAAGATGCAAATCTATGCTCAAACATAGATGTGCTTAGCTATTCAGAAGAGTGTTACAGATGAAATACAGAGAGAACAGAAGAAGAAGGTGGTGAGCGAGTCAGAAGGCTACATACGTATACATAATTCCCGCATAAGGGCCAAGTGATACACGAGATAAAGCGAGGTAAATTGAACGGAAAGAAGCGATAGGCGTTCAAAGCGTGAAAAATCCAAGAGTGTATTATATACATATACATCTGTGCCCTGGAAGGATCGTGTTTTATTTGCAGATTTTGGAGGCACTCAACATCTCGAAAAATCATCTTGCTTGTCAACCGACAATATGATTATGCTATATAGTAGCCTGGCATACTTGTTGTGTACATAGGTGCTGGCTCGCAGCAAAAGTAATGCCTCCTACCAGATTCGAACTAGCGACCGTTCCATAGCGCACATTCTCATGTGTCACTACGAGTGGAACGCTCTACCCCTGAGCTAAGAAGGCTTGCTATTTACGTTAAGTAGCAAGTCAAAAAGCAAGTCAAAGAGGAAAGAGGAAGATGCAGAGATCCGCAGAGACAAACTTCACTTCGTTGTAAAGTCCTTACGGTAAGGGGAATGAGGAAATATCGTTTTATTAGGGCCATTCCACACCTTGTTTCACAACTTTCTATATCGAAAACACGAAACGACAACAACAAGTAAAGTACACAGAAGGATTTACGACGTTATGAAAAGAGCTTGTTGACCGATGTATTACCTTCTTGGTTCTTTTTCAAGACCTAGAAGATATATTTTTAGAGTGTGAACAAGCGAAAGCATGAAAATTTTGACCTTTGCAACAGCAAATTCAAAGTCCTCCTGTGTAACATGTTGCCGACGTTCCCTGAGGGCGTACATCCCTGTGCCGGTTCGTCAGTTGCATGTTGACCACTGTGATGTATTCACTTACCAGCCTCTGTACAAATACCTCTCACTTCAGCTCCGGAGCACTGGCCCATCTTCTCCGCTAACGCGCGCAAATTGATCCCTCGTTGAAGCGACATCTTCTCTGAATATGAGCAAGCATTATTGCAACCGACATGATACTACTGACCTTTCGAGAGTGAATACGCAAGATGGACACTCGAGCTTCAGGGCCAGGCGGTGGGAACTCAATCTTACGATCGATACGACCAGGTCGGAGGAGAGCAGAATCAAGAATGTCTGTAGCATACGATTATAGAATGTCCTGATTCAACCAAGACCTCACTCACCGATTCGATTAGTAGCCATGATAACCTTGATATTTTTCGTGCTCTCAAACCCATCTAGCTGGTTGAGCAACTCTAACATTGTTCTCTGGACCTCCGAGTCTCCTCCACCACTACCACTTTCTCCACGCGATGACCCAATAGAATCGATTTCGTCCATGAATATGATTGACGGTGCGTGTTCTCGTGCCATGACAAAAAGCTCACGAACCATCCTCGAGCCCTCTCCAATGTATTTCTGAACGAGCTCAGATCCAGACACCCGGATGAATTTACAGTCTGTGTGGTGCGCGACAGCCCTTGCAAGGAGGGTTTTACCTGTTCCAGGAGGCCCATACAAGAGTACACCTTTGGGCTGAGCGATACCCAAGCTCTCGAAGAGCTCAGGATGTTTGACGGGCAGCTCTATAACCTCTTTTATTTCTTTGATTTGCTTGTCCAAGCCACCAACCATTTCATACGTCGAGTCTGGTACCTTTTCGACCATCATGAGCGATACGAGGGGATCGATCTTATTAGGGAGGATTTTATGGATGGTGTACGAGTCGGAACGGAGAGCGATGCGAAGATTTGGAGTCAGGGAATTGATGTCGATTTCAGAGTCAAGGTCGACAACTATGAGAAAGAGTTGATGATTATTGTATGAGATATAGGATATCTACGCACTATATTTCCCTTCCGGCTGAACTTTGACCAGAACTTTGGTTTTGCCCATGACTTTGACGACTTCACCAACATAGGAGCCGGGTTCATGTAATAACTGAAGTTCTTCTCGTAGCAAACGGACTAAAGAAATCAGACCACATACGTCGTAAGATGTAAAGTAAGGTACCTCTCGCATTTAACGCATTTCGTTGTGCCTCTAGTCGCCTCAAATTTTGTGTTTTCTGGTTGATTGTGAGTTCGGCTGCTTCAATCTTGGCTTGATAGTACGCTTTAATTCCTCCTGGGACCGAAGCAGGCTTCAAGTCTACGGTATCCATTAGCATGAGGAAGATTGTATATTCATATTTCCTACCGGATCTTGTTCCTTGTAATGGTGCAGGCATGGTCGAACGATATAGAGCGTGGTAAGACCTGGTAAGACTGACGCGTCGCGCTGTCACATGTCACCCTCGAGCGTCGTGACACAGCGTTACATTGACACATAATTTATTTCTTGTTCCCCATTTTTCATCGCCTTCTTAGCTCAGTGGTAGAGCGTTGCACTTGTATGAGCTTTCTGGAGCTTCAGCATTTATGCAAAGGTCAGTCGTTCAATCCGGCTAGGAGGCAGGCGGCGATTCTTGTTGTTTTTTTTAAATCTTGGGGCACTGAGTTTGATTGTTTCTGCACAAACAGACCTTGTTTGTCTAATCTCCCATGTAAGGATGGATGTTCTCAACAGCAACGCAAGGATTAAATCCACTGAACAGAGTAACGAGCTTGCATGTGCAGTCGCAGTATTTAATCCCCAGCTAGTTCATCTCGGCCAAATCAACTGTCTGTACTACAGCCCCCAACATCTGAATATGCATGAACACGCAATAGATTATAACCTCATGCTCATCATTCGAAACGCGGGTAAGGAATTGTAGTCCTTAATTCTGTAATTCCGAGCCTTCCCGCAGGTCCGAGTACTTTTACCTACACCATAAATAGAGGGTGTTTTTGCAGTTCTTGTAATTCACCCTACGCTCATCTTTGCGGGCCAAAGAGAGCTCTGATTTTGATTCCATTCACATCTCAGTTGTGTAATAGTTAGTTGCAAGGTTTTTTCATATACTATTGATCCGCAACTCACCTAGCGTTTATTCACAGAATACCTCTTGACGCCACTTGTCAAGACAACTCGCGACCTACTTCTATATTCTGTGTGGATATTCCTGTTCCATCAATATGCGTTTCCAAATCAGTTTCGCTTCCTACATTGTGCTCGGGCTCATCTCCACTACTTACGCATTACCTTCATCTGTGAGTTCGCTGTTGGTTTTTGCTTGAGCCAGGTCGACACTCATTGCAATTACTAGGTCATACGCAGTCCACACGCCCGTTCCGACTTACGTTCTGTGGAAGGACAAGGACAGCCCAGTGAAATGAGCGTATCTGCAGAAGCTAGCACTCTTGATACGCTGGTGGGTATCAACTCCAGAGACAACGATCCCGTGCCCACCACTACAATCTCAGTCACCTTCCCCGTGTCTGGTTCCAGAAAATCCTTCAAGGTCCAAAGTGCAGCCAAGAAGGCCGTCCAAACACTCCTAAACAAAGCAAAATCCAAATTAGATATAACTGGAGATATCCGAGTAGTGTTCACTAATCTGTTTACTTCTCCTAAGATAATACCAACGGAGATACCATTCACATTCTCGGTGAAAGCCTGTGAAGGGAGATGTAAAGGGCTTGTGAAGGGACCTGGAGAGGGAGTGATCAATGACGCGAAAGACAAAGTCATTTTCCAGGCGGATTAGCATGTAGAAGTGTGTTGTGTCGTTAATTTGTTGAAACCGACTAGTCGCGGAATGCACTAGGCCCCAGCTGTTCCTAAACAGGACTGTAGGACTGTTCCAGGTCCACCTCCTTCTCCTCTACTAGTCGTTCCGGAATAGTCTTTCCCAACGTATTGGTTTCGATTGGACGAGAGTAACCGTGTTGCCTGATATGTGTATGATACTTGGTCACGATGTATCTGTTGATACAATGCAGTCATTATTTGAATACCTTTCAGCCTATGGCTTATTAGGGGCTAGTGTAGAAGGTCTAGTGAGCAGGTCTACGTGAAGAAAAATATACGTACATCGGATAACTGATTGTACAACGGACATACATAGATAAATCGTACAAACACTCAAAGAGAATAAACCTAGAAACAGCAGGAATGAAGGCGTAGCAAGCATGAACTTATGAAGATATAGCTAGTGATGATAGATGAAAGGGATCCTGTCAAGGAGTTGTACGGGTCGTACGAGTCAGTGTGGATCTGCCGGCGCTGATACGAATTTTCACTCGTGTGCGGGTGTCCCCTTCGTTCACAAACGTGTTACGGTAAGTACCGCTACGAGTCCATCTTGGTCGATCCCGTGGTTTACGCCGTCATTTCTAGGTTCTAAAAGGCCTTCGACCCATTCTACTTCTGCCTGCCACCAGAGGGAATTCCAATGAGTCGGAGAAGAGACAGCTTGGGCGACAAGGAAATCCCGGCCTATGTTATAACCATCAGGTATGATCATATGGTGCTTTCCGGAATGCTAGAAATCGAAGAGATGAGGGCTGTTGAGACTATCTAAGCGGAGCAAAGGAAACTAACCTCTTCCTTGGAAACACCTAGAAACCATGCACCGGAGTTGGCTTTAGTACCATTCTGTTTCCATGAACGGAAGTGATTGCCACCTGAGACGAGTAAACATCGAAAAACCAGACCAATCGTCATCACTCACCAGCTAAGCTCTCCCAGCAGGTACCAAGAACGGGACCACCAGGTCTCATAAAGTAATACTGTCTTGCAAGCATCTGTTCATCTTGCCTCTCATTGCCGTCCCCGAGGTTTGCTTGATGTATATTACCGTAGTGCAAACCAAGGCATTCGCTCGAAAAGCCAAGAGATCTGAAACAGGTTGAGTTCGCAAAAATAGGGAGAACAGAGGCCAGCTTGCTTAGCATAGATTGAGAAGCCGATCTCGGAAAGGATGTAGGGATCCGATTTGCTAGAAATGATAACGTTAAGAGGTTCGCCTTTGTGACGAGTTGTGAACTACGAAGGTGTTAATGAGTATTGGCTAGTTTGAAAGTGGCCGTATTTGCTTACATCCAGTAATCGCCCACCAAGGATTCTGGGATCTACCCATCCATTCGTCAGGTCTATCTCTGAGTCTACTCCCGTCATATTGGTTGCTCCTTGTTTCGATACTAATGGAACCTGCGTCTGCATGGTTGTATCAAAAGTCCGGTCGATAAGCTGGCTTTCGCTTGAAGATACCGGTGAGCTTTGAACCCACTTTGAGAGGATACATAAATGAAAAGTCACGATAGCGGTGCGCATCTCGAACGACGACGGGTGGTAGTGATGTCTCGTGGGGGAGGCTAGTGATATTAGCAGTTCCAGAAGGGCTTGGATAGCTGCAGGAACATTGCACTTGAGAAACGTTGCGCCACACGTGCCGCACTAACACAGCACTCTCTGAGATTGTGACAACGGCTTCTAGATGAACAATCGGCTCATGTTAAATAAGCCTATGTTGTATTAGTGAAAGAAAAGGAATGAAAGGGTCATGGTCGAATTCTAAACGTGAGTTTACCGTCGCGTACTGGAGCTCAAGCACTCAAATTTACTCAAAGCTTGAATGGAAAAATCATTCGAGACATACTCTCGTGGTTACAGCGAAATACAATAAACACAGCTTAACTTAGGAAGAGCGGGTGCGTCCCGCCAGACTGCGAAAACAGACTTCAGTCTGGATCAAATCGAGCGTCTAAATGTGGTTTACCTGCTTTCCAGCTTTCCTCCAGCCTTTTTACTACCATGTCGATAAAATATCTCACTGCAAAGCTTGCCCAACAAGTGACTGATTGAAATTGAATACTCATGTCACAAGTAGTGCTGACTCGAGCGGCCTTCTATGTAGATTGACGAGGAACTCATGAACCAAGCGGGGGCCTTCAGTATCGATCAAGTAAATGATCCTAAACTCAACGTCTCTATACTGAACTGTCATCTCAACATAGCTTATGGAGCTCGCCGGCTTGGCCTGTGCGCAGGCTCTAGCTCGTGTATATGACAAGAAGATGTATCCCAACGTCTTGGTATGTTGTGGTCCTGGAAATCAAGGTCCCTCTCCAGAAGTTGTTTAGAGTTCCAAATAACTGATTTCTTGTAAGGGGGAGATGGCTTGGTAGCAGCTCGTCATCTGGGTCAGGCATCTGGCACGTTAGGGGTCTCGAAGTACTGATTGTGATATAGGGATGTTTGGTTATACGCCTACAATCTTCATGCCAAAGGTGACTTTTCTTTCACAATGTTTCCGGAATCATCCTACAAAACCTGTATCTAGCCCGGCTCCAAAGAAATATACCAGGTAAGCACACTTGCTATTACCCTTGCTTTATATGCCAACGGAATCTCGTAGCGGCTCAAAAGCCAATGCGATAACATGAAGATTAAAACTATACCCCCTTCTGAGGATGCATCTCTTCTCCGCGACGCCCTTTCTTCTTCGAATGTGATCTTAGATGCCATCTTCGGCTTCTCATTTAAAGGACCTATCCGCGCACCATTTGATACCACTTTGCCTCTCTTGACTGACTCCCACCTTCCAATTGTTTCAGTTGATATCCCATCTGGCTGGGACGTCGAGGAAGGAAAAATTGAGCGGATTGGACTCCAATCGGATGTTCTTGTCAGTTTGACTGCTCCCAAACTAGGCGTACGTTCATTCAACGGTCGACACTTTCTCGGTGGAAGATTTATTCCAAAGTAGGTTGCTATTAGTATATTCCGTTTCATCGCTCCACTTGCTGACGATTCTCAGGACATTGGAGGAGAAATATCAGCTAAATCTCCCAGAATATCCTGGGTCAGATCAGATTGTCGAGTTGAAAGAGTAGGATGATCATATTCACACCTAGGGATAGTAAGGATTGAAAGTGTAAATCAGCGAGCATCGATTATATCTGGGTTCCGCTCTAGCAACGCGGTGCTCCACTCTATGACTTGTGCTCAATCGTGGAATTTTCCTGGTCCGAAACGATTTATGAAAATCTTGCAGCGCATAACTGATACTGCAGGGGGTTGCCCATGGTCTGTCGAAAGTGCACCATCTCGAGACGACTGTACCGAAGTCTTATGCGATGACAGTCTGCTTTTACCAATGAATACGAAGAACTTGGGCGACAAATTTCCACTCAGCCGGACTGCTCATTTCCAGGGCTTGCGTTATGAGAAGTCAGACACAAGGCTGTTTTGTTCAGTTTCGGATCATATCCGAATGAACTCACAACTAAGATTTTTCGCTATCACCTCTCTAAGAAGGATTCGTGTTTGGAAGGCTATCCCAGGGAAAGTTTAGCTATTTTGAGCAAGCTAGCCAGGTGAATCTGAGTCTCGTTTATGCTTTCAAGGGCTTTTGTATATCTCACAAGAAGATCAGACTGGAACGTTTTCTGCAAATCAGTGTCTTGTCGACAAAGTTCTCAGTTGGGTTAACTTCAGACGGCATCTCAACAGGACTGCAGGCGCAGCAAAGTCGTTATCTTTTGGCCCTCGGGTACTCGTGGATGCTTGTACGCGACCTTTGCTCTGG